TGTAGGAGCGGCAGCAAATGCCTTTCCCAAGGTCACAGCACTGTTTCTCTCTGGTTGAGTGTCTGCAGGACCACAGATAGCTTTATTGGCCAGTGAAGGTTATTGGAAGGGCAAAGTTTCTCTTCAAGCTTCCGGACTCCAAGTCCAGAGCTCTTTCCACCACCCCAGCAAACAGGGTCCGGGGTCTCCTCCAACTCTGTGGTGCCTCCAGAATCTCATGTTTTGTCTGGGGCTAGAGAGGGGCGCTGCCTGACCCGTATGTCACAGTCTCTTCATACCCAAGGTCTGAAGGCTTGGACAAGCCCTGCTTCTCAGCAAGGGGCCATCATGGAACCTTGATGTCAAAGCCACCCATAATGACATTTTAAGTTTACTGAACAGAGATCCACCTGGAAAATGGTTTTAAGGACCTGTTTGGATAAGCCTCATACTCCATTTTCAGAAAATTCTTCCGTAAATGATTGACGACACAAAAGGAAAATGCTGCCAGTTGGCTGTCGATCACATGTTGCAAACCACCTCTCTAGCTCAAAGGTCACCGATGTCTCCATTAATATTCAGGACACGGATCTCCTAAGTTTGCTCTTGGGGCATTTGAGAAAATAGCCTGATTTTTTTTAAAGTGTTTTTTTGTTTTGTTTTGTTAATCCTCACCTGAGGAACATTTGAGAAAATAGCCTGATTTTTTAAAAGTGTTTTTTTGTTTTGTTTTGTTTTGTTAATCCTCACCTGAGGATATTTTTCTATTGATTTTTTTTAGGGAGAGTGGGAGAGGGAAAAACAGAGAGAAAGATCATGAGAGAGAAACACATCAACTTGTTGCCTCCCACACGAGCCCAGACTAGGGCCCAGGCTGGGGAGGAGCCTGCAACCGAGGTACTTGCCCTTGACCAGAATTGAACCCGGGACCCTTTGGTCTGCAGGCTGATGCTCTATCCACTGAGCAAAACTGGCTAGGGCTATAAAAGTATTTTTATTGAGGTATAATTTATATACAGTGAAAAGCTCAGATCTAATGTGCAGAGTTTGATGATTTTGGTAAATATATACATGGTGTCACCATCACCCCAGTCAAGACAGAAAACATTTCCCTCACCTAGAAAATTCCTTCTCCCCTCTTTCCAATCAATCCCACTGTTGTGACTACCATCACCATAGACTGTTTTTAACTTTTCTAGGGTATCTGTTTGAGATCGAATGTTTGTGTCCCTCCAAAGTTCATATAGCCAGGGCCCAGGTCAGGCTGTTCCAAGACATTCCACTACGGCATATGAATTATTTCAAACTAAAATCGCCCGAGGAGCAGCCAGAGCAGGAAGAGCCCACTGGCTCTCCTCTGTCCCTTTAAAAACAGTAACTAAATCTCCGTGACAGGTGCCTTTTCTACCCCTGAAGGCCTGAGACACAACTTTATCTTATAAAATCCAGGATAGAAAAAGTGTGTCTAAGTAAATCTTATAATGCCTTGACTAGTTTACTACCCGGGCCCAGACTTTGTTTAGATTCCTCACTTACAAATAACCAAACCCGCTTAGACTCCTTTCCAGTAAGCACTAACTTCCTTTGTCCTGTCAATGGCTCACACACTTATTGTTTCTTTATCTAAAAAGTATAAAAAGGTGCCTCGTTTAATCACCTTTGGCGCCTCCGTTTATGATCTGAGCATCATACTGATTCTCCTGTGCACACGTATTAAATTGTTTTCTTTCTTCTGTTAGTCTAGTCTTGTGTCGATTTTATTATTTAATAACTAATCCAGCCGTAAGAACTAAAGAAAGGAAGAGTGGGGAATTCTCTTCCGCTGCCCCAAAATATGTTGAAACCTCACCTTCCAATGTGAGAGTATTGGGAGGTGGGGCCGTTGGGAGGAGTTTAGGTCATGAGGAGGAAGCCGTCACAAATGGGATTAAACGAGGGATCCCGGAGAGCTCCTGTGCCGTTTTTGCTCTGTGAGGACACACTGAGAAGACAGCCATCTATGAACCAGGAAGACGGCCCTCACCAGACGCCGAATCTGCCTGCCCCTTGATCTTGGACTTCCCACCTCCAGAAATACATTTCTGTTGCTTATAAGTCACCCAGTCTATGGTATTCTGTGAAGCAGCCCAAACTAAGTCGGTGTCATATAAACGAAATGAAACAGTACATGATCTCTTGTGTCTGGTTTCTTTCACTTAGCGTAATATCTGTGAGATTCATCTACTAGTATGTTGTCACATGTACACACAATCCAGTCCCTTCCTGTTTATTGCCAAAGAGTTTTCTATTGTACGTAGGTTCAAGCCCACAATTGGTTTAGCCATTCATCTGTTGATAGACATGTGGGCTTTTGCAGTTTGGGGCTGTTAAGAATAAAGCTGCTATGAACAATTATGTGCGAGTCTTTGTGTGGGATGGATAGAAGTTTCATCTGTCTGGGGTGAAAATACGTAGGCATGGAACTCCTGGGTTATGAGTGTATGTTTAACTTTATAAAAGATTTGTGGCTTATTTTTTTATGTCACCTTCCTGAGAGGATGTTTAGAAATCAGCTTGTAAAGACCACACCAAAACAACCTCTTTGGAGGGAAGATGGTAGCAGAGAGGGGGCCGCTCTTATTGAAAAAAAAAGCTGTTTTCAATAGCTTCTGCATTAACTAATTCCTGAGTGGGTTTCATAATTGGTGCTAACTTTGGACTGTATCCAAGAAAATGATTTATTCACATTACTAATGGAAATGGACTACGCAGGGTAGCAGGACTGAAACACACGGAAGGTTATTTACGCTAAAATGTTGATGAAGCCTCTTGGAATTTTGCCTTAAGCTCAACCAATTACAATTTAGCAGGGTGATTTATTGAGAATATAAACGATGGAAAGGTCACCCTTTGAAAAGCTAATCTGAGTTCTGAATTTTCACTGCTGTAGACTCCTGTCCTACCCTGGAAAGATAAACAAGCTTTTCTGTGACTTGAGGGCCTTCACTCACTGCCAGATATAGCACCAAACTATATTGTACAAGAAAGCAGCACAGAACACTTTTGTGTTTGGGTGATTGAACAGAAGAAAGGGCTCTGAACTTGGTTGGACCCCTGGGAACTGGAGCAGAAGGGTCTGACCACAGCTGGTCCCAGAGAGGGGGGAAGCCCTGCTTCTCTTGGTGAGATCTCAGAGGAAATGGTAGGGTAGCTGGTGAGGCCAGGAACTAGGAATTCTGGCTTAGAAAGCCCATGAGAGAGGCTATACTAACACAGTCCCTACCTGGAAAGTGGGGCCATCAAAAGTAGGAAGCCAGAGCCAGGAGACTGCAATTTTTTTAAAAAATTATTATTTTAATATATCTTTTTTAAATTTTTTTGTATTAATTTCAGAGAGGATGGAAGAGGGAGAGAGAGATAGAAACATCCATGATGAGAGAGAATCATTGATTGGCTGCCTCCTGCATGCTCCCCACTGGGGATTGAGCCCACAACCTGGGCATGTGCCCTTGACCGGAATCGAACCTGGGACTCTTTGGTCCACAGGTTGACGCTCTGCTGACTGAGCCAAACCGGCAAGGGCTATTTTAATATATCTTTATAGACTTCAGAGAGGGAGAGAGATAGAAACATCAATGATGAGAGAGAATCATTGATCATCTGCCTCCTGCACACCCACCATTGGGGATCAAGCCCACAATCCCAGCATGTGCCCTGACTGGAAATTGAACCATGACTTCCTGGTTCATAGGTCGAAGCTCAACCACTGAGCCACACCAGCAGGGCAAGACTTCACTTTTAAGAACAGCAGCATCAGCGGGCCCCTGATACTCCATTTCCTGCAAATGTTGGTTGTCCTCTGTGGTAGGATGAGTCATTGCTCACCATTCTTCAGACACTTCCTGTATTTGAATTTTACACTCACACCCTTTGTCATGTGACATTACAGTGTTCTCTAGTAGTGTGAGCGGAGAACAGCTCCTGCCATGGATATTGGAGTGGCCATGTGCCTTGCTTTGGTCAGTGGAATGTGGACAGGAGTGACTCAAGAGGTGTTAAGAGGCATCCTGTGCTCCTGCAATTTTATGAAAAGAACATGTTCTAGTAGGGCTGGTCCAAGGAAAATATGGAGATATGTAGACTTGAGCCAACTTGAAGCTTCGGTCCTAGCCCAGCAGATTTGTAGCCTTAAGCAGCGCTTTCCCTGCCAACCGACAGACCTAAGAGCAAGAAAAGAA